CTGACTATAGATTCATGAATAAATCCTCAGGAAGAGACAATGTTTCCAGAAAACATGCCTACTCTAAATTAACTTAGGCTATAAGAAAGGGATTCTACTGTGTATTTTTATCAAGTATGCTTGTTCTGAAATAAGAGCAACCAAATGGAGAGTTCTTGCACTTTAAAAGCAACCCTTTTCTTCATACAATTAAATCTTCCTTCTAGTTTAGCTTATTCCTGATATGGGAAATTTGCCAGTTTTGTAGTGAACCTCTGACCAATTCAGTTAATCAACAAAATTAAGTTTATACCCATAGAAATATTTGCAATATGGTAATAAAGAAAAATAAAAAGGTATTATGAGACAGAAAAGTGATGTGAATAAATAAAATTTGGCTATTATTAGCTATTATTAGCTTCATTTGAAATTGCAAGGCTAGGTAAATTGATATTTTCTCACCTAGAAGTTTATAAAAATTATGTAAGAAAAAAAGTATGTCTAAATTACAATTAGTCAAAAGTTTCACATATATAATCATACATTTGGTGGTGGCTGCCCAGACCCTGGTGGTGTTCAAGGCTAGGCTGGATGAAGCCTTGAGCAACCTGATCTAGTGAGGAGGTGTCCCTGCCCAAGGCAGAGGTTGGGACTAGATGATCTGTAGGTCCATTCCAACCCCTAAATTCTATGATTCCCATGAGCCATATTTATTTCAGTTACAAAGATATTACTAGAAATTACAACACTAAATTCTACATTTCAAATTCTTCTGATTTTTATGTTTGATGGATATTTATCGAATAAAATAATTTCATTAATAAATTCAACATGGAACTACACATTTTCTAAGAATCTAGAACTTATTAATATCCATGTTAAAAAGAAAAAATAAATAAGTGGGATCCCTAATGACAAAAAGAGGAGAACCATATTGAATATTTGTCAGTTAGAACAGAGAATTTTAATCGTTAACTTCTGTTCACCAGAAGATGGGATACAGGAGTTAAAAGTCTATTTCAGTGAGGTAAAACAGATATAAGCCCCTTTCAAGCAAAAACACTTGACTCAATAAACAACAAAATGTGAAATATTAAACAGCTGTAACACTGCAGACTGTACTAACATATTTTTCAGTTGAACCGAATCGTATCATCTTCATGATACATGAATAATATCAAAGACATTAGGTCTTACCATAAAAGAAAGCAAAACATGCTTTTATTTTATAAGGCATCGTAAATTTTCAAAAGACTGTGGGGGAAAACAAACAAACAAAAAGGAAAACCTAAGAGAGCCAAAAAATACAGAAGGCACCTTCCTAGATTGATGGCCCTTGGTGTTCATGAGGGCAAACCCTGAAGTGGAGTTATAAACTGATGCCTCTTTGTAAAAGTATATTTTTATTGCTACCATTTTACTAATAAAAGGGAATTGAAGCACTGTAGAATTATTTAAGAGAAGTTGTTTGAGATGATGATGCAAAGTTGGAATCTAAAGAAAGTACTTCTCAGTCATTACCCAGATGTATAAATATATGGCCAACCGACCTGTTTCACACAGACAGCAGAAAAATAGATGTATTATCCTTTTTTTTTCTAAGTCTAACTTGTGCTGATCCCACTGTGTACATTCATATACTATGACTTCCTCCAAACCTCATGTCTTATTCTGTTAAGCATCACATACTTTAGTGCTTGAAAGACAGACAGACTGACCAAGCATCTCCCCAAATACCTTGCAAGTCTGAAGTACACACAGATTATGTTGGATCTCAGGACAAGGGTGATTTTCAACTTATGAGCAACATAAATTACAAAGCAAGTAAATTTACCTTTCTTGATGGAAAAATTCCTAAAACACATGAGTTTGCTTTAAATGTCTGCTACATCTTCAAGAAATCAGTCAGTTTACCATGTGCTCTAGTGGTTGAAAACAAAGGAGGGGAATAGGAATACAGACAGGAGTGGAGTCTAGTTCAGGAAGAAGAGGATGCAGTGTCTAGATGCTGAAATGGGTATGAGAAGTCTGGGAGTGGCATTTAGGTACTGACTGATCATGACAGAAAAGATACAAAAAGGCAGTAAGAAAAATACTATAACAGGAAAATAAGGAATTGTATATTCCTTTATTCATATGTCTGATTAAACTAAAAATAGAAATGCCACGCAGTTCTTTAGCTAGATAAAAACACATCTAATAATTTCATGACAGCACACAAAAATCAGATAGATTTATGAGAAAGAAATTATTATTCAAGGCTATAGCAACAGTAGAAATCAAACATTATTGAGTTATTAATATGTCAAAATTTCAGCATTGCTTGAATCATCCCATAATGATACAACAGTAATGATGAGGCATCTTTCTTCAAAATATACCATAGAAATGCAAACGGAAAACATTTCAAATCTGAAATTCTGTGTACAAGGAATGAGTGACCCCTCTTTATAAGATGAAAGCTAAATGTATTGTTTTAATATTCTTTAAATATACATGAATTTAAAAATTCAACCATTGAAAAGTCATGCAGGAAATACATATTTAAAAATTTAAAAAAAGAGAGAGAAATTATGCACTACCCATTTGACAAAGCAGCTCATATATAAAATACAGTGTGGGAATATTATACTTTGAACTAAACAAAATTGTTTTAAAATTCATTGCAATTATTCCTTCTAATTCTATTCCTAATTCAAAGCAATTTTTTTTTTCAGGGAAGTACAGTAAAAAAAGTTATTTTGCATTTTAAATGTGAAGTAACAAAATCTACTAAATTTGAGATCATCACACACCTTTCATAACTTTCACAGCTTTCTTGAGAAAATTAAACTTGACAACTGTGAGCTTTTCAAAGCTTTGATGTAAGCAGATACAGAAAAGCACATAAAAGCTATATAGGAAAGGAAAGAAGCATTTATTTTAGCAGAACAGGACAAATGATCCTGTATGATAAAATGTGCAGGTTGGTACATTCACTGCCTAAATCCTACTGGCTACATTATTTTTGATATAAAGAGTATATAAACTCAAACCTCATCAAGAGATAGATGTTAAAACATATAAACAAACTTGAAACACACTGAATTATTGATTCTTTCTTATGTAATCTTGCAGGGATTGACCTCTGTCCCAGTATTGGCATCACTGATCTGTTATCAAGTATACAATGATTGGTATTGATGTGTGCAGATCATAGAATCAACCAGGAAGGAAAATACTTCCAAGATCATCGAGTCCAACCCTACCATGGTTACTAGACCATGGCACTAAGTGCCACATCCAGTTTCATCTTAAAACCCTCCAGGGATGGTGAATCCACCACCTCCCTGGGCAGCACATTCCAATGCCTAAGCACTCTCTCTGCAAAAAATCTCTTCCTAATCTCCAACCTAACCCTCCCCAGGCAGAGCTTGAGTCTGTGCCCTCTTGTCCTGCTGCTGGTTGCCTGGGAGAAGAGACCAACCCCCACCTGACTCCAACCTCCTGTCAGGGAGTTGTAGAGGGTGATAAGGTCTCCCCTGAGCCTCCTCTTCTCCAGGCTAAACAACCCCAGCTGATGATACAAAGGCTGATTGATTACTGAGTACCGAAGGGAACAGGTCACTAGCAGAGAGAGGACTATATTCCGCAAAGCAGTAATTCGAGGAGCAAGTACTGAGTACCGAAGGGAACAGGTCACTAGTGGAGAGAGGACTATATTCCGTAAAGCAGTAATTCGTGGAGCAAGTGGGGCAAATGTGAAAGACAGTTGTGATAGCATCAAGAAAAATCCCAGGTAGGATTCTGGACATAATGTAACAGCAATGGGAGAGGAGTAAACTGGAATTGCTAAGAAACGTTACTCGATAAGGCAGTAGTTCTTACACATAGGAAAATTGTGAAGGTCATTGGGAAGAAAATTGACAGCTTAATACTCTAGCAAACATGCTTTTACTTTAAGAGACAAACAAAACCAACAACAAAGAAACCCAAGGGGTTATGTGTTTCTAAACTATAATTAATGGTAAAAGAAAATGTTGTGGTAAAACTGTGTTGGTCTCACCATAAAAAGAACTTCTGTCTGAAAGTGAGTCAGCCTTGTTGCAATTTATATATCAGGTATATATTTTGAAATTAGTGGAATAAATGAAACAAAGGGTATCAGGAGATTTTCTATAATTTGTAAACAGACCTTATAAGCAATTGAAAAATTACTCACTGAATGAAATTCTATGGGTTATGTTACATAAAAGGTTAAAAACACACTGGCATTTGTATCTATGTACCCATAAAAATTCATTCTAGCTTGAAATGTCAAAATATTTGTTGCTTGGTAAAAGCTTCTTGTTAAAGTATAGAACTCTTGGGAAGTGAATCCTTTTGTCGTATCTGCAAATTCCCAGTAATGCTTGTGGAAGACAAAGAGCAGACACTTCTTACTTAAAATATTTTTCGGTTCTTTGATAGTTCAATTAAATTTCTGTACGATTAAAAATTTCATCTCAATCAGCCAGTAGTAACAGCATTAAATAAATGTTTAATACTTCGTACTTTGCATAGAGGTAATATTTAAAAATTTCATCTCAATCAGCCAGTAAGAACAGCATTAAATAAATGTTAAATACTTTGTACTTTGCATAGAGGTAATAACATAGTGTTAGAACAGCAAACAGAAGCAATAGATTTTGCTGGTTAGTATCATCAGGCTAACAGGCAAACTAATTTTTAAACCTTTTGTCTTCTCATATGGTGCTGAACTAAACAGCTTTGTAAAGAACCAACCATTTTAGTCAATAATAAGAAAAGTGAAATTACGAATCAACTAACATAACTCTAAAATTGGGACAACTTCCTTACAAGTTAGATGAGAGTAAATATCCATGACAGGCTTAACAACTGGAGCTCATTCATAACACAGTAAATTCCATGTAACCCCAATGCATACTATGGACTGTTCATCACTATTGCAATCAGTATGTCATATTCTGTTAGCTTTTGTGTACAAATGTATTTCTGGAAAAGCAAATGTAACTGCTTACCAAGATGGTGGTAACAATTAAAGAGCGATTGGACAGGGAATCTGTGATGTTTGCTGGTTTTCCTTTCTGATTCTCTGTCATGTTAAGGCCACTCAACGGATCCCAAGTTCCAACCTACAAAACAGTAAATTACTGTGTAAATTGCCCATTAGTTACATTTCAGCATCTAGAAAAGAACACTATAAGGGAAAGCAGATTGCCACAGGAAAAACAGTGATTGCTAATATCTATTATTAAACTCTGTTCCATTTTTCTCTGCCATTACATTGAAAGTCTGCTTATTTAAAATATGATTACAAATACCTCAAATTGTGCTTTGTGAAGTGTGACATTAAGTGGAAAAATGATGTATAGAATACCTAAAGCTACTCTGAATACTTAATTTTCCATTTAACTTTCATTCCTCAAGATAAACTACATTTGAAGATAACAGGCAGAAATTTATTTGCAGAGCAGAGAGCATTGTCTACAAAAGGATTTACCCTTTTCTGTGTCCAGAGAAAACAGCAGGATAAAAAGATGTTTTGGGGAAAATATAATGGAGAAGACTGAAACAGGTTAAGTGTAATAACTTAATTTGTTTCCAGATAAGTCTTCAATACGTAAGTATTTTGACAGGTTATACCTTGAAATAAAGTCAATAGGACTTTTATCTATGTAAGAACATCCAAGGTTATGCTTTAAGAGTCAGGTCAAGCACAGATTTGCATACTAAGTAATGAGGGTTATGGTTACACAATGTATCTGCAATTTCATGACAATACTATTAAAATGGACAAGCAGTAGATATAACTATCCACTTTTAGAAATCAGAATGTTTGTATTATTCCACTGTCTAAAAAAGCCCACATAAATGTTTCTAGTTTTATTTTTAGACAGGATTTTAAACATCATTTCAAATAGAAAACAATACCTATAATACAAGGTAAAAATATTTTAAAACTAAATCGAGACAGAAATTAAAAGTTTCTGTGAGTTTTGATTGTGAATATTTATATGTATATGCATAGATGCAGATATAAATAAACAGAAGTTTTAAAATAAGCTTTCAAAGTTACCCCTGAGAAACTCTTTGTATACTTTTAAGTGGTTTCTTGCAGTAGGGCTGTAAAGTAACTTTAGGATGCAATATTGTGTGGATTAAATAGAAAGAGTTCCATTTCTAAAACTGAGACTACAGCAGAACATGAATCAGCGGAAGCTGTAATAGAGAAAAGACAAATTTGCTCTTTTTGTACAATTTTCAGTTCCACAGAAATCAATATTTCTCCTTCACTTAACACTCACTTCTAAGAAGTAACTGGTTTGAATTTAGCCATTCAATACCTCGTAAGCTGATGAATTATGAAGGGAAGAAAGAGACTATGTGTGTCTCAGAAATACAATTGGAAAATAACATCTAACTCATCATTTCGAAGTATTAAAATCAAGCCTTACTACCAAAAAAACCCTTTTCTACATTTACTCTTATAATACCCTTTGATTTGGTGAATTGAAAGGTTTTAAGGGATTTTCAGCCTCAATTAAGGAAACTTCAGCCACAATTAAAAAAATTTAAAAGGATCACTAAGATTTAATTGCAATGTTCTGTTAATTATTACAATCACAGTGCTTGCTTTACTTCAAAGAAAGACCAAACTAAAGTGGAATAACAAGGAATGACAAAGACCAGAACTTGAGCCTATCCCTGCTAAAGTGAAACTGGATTAATCTCCTTTATGAGATTCAACTTCAGGTACACAAGTAGCACAAAAACTTATAAGGGAACACCATCAACTTATATGATCAATTTCAAATCCTAAATTAAGTAAACCATATACTCTATTAAAGTTCATGTTCATCATTCAAATTTATATTTGCAAAAGTGAAGATGTTGCTAATTAAAATACTTCTCTCCTACTTTTTGACATAGCCACAGTCACAAACAAAAGAAGGTTTTTCTAACTACACCCATACAGACTTATAAGAACTTCCAATACCCTTACTTTTAAAAGAAAATTCTGCCTTGATAAACTGATGCATTATTTTTCTAAATCAGGTTAATTGTAGTTTTGTTGCTGCTTTTGTGAATCAAAAATCTAAGAAATGGAGCAAAAGTCAGACATTAAAAATGAGACATTCTTTAGATTCTCTTTATTGACAAGCTCAAACTCTACAATTGACATGACAGATTCTGATAGCTTACTGATATGTATAGTGACCAAATCACACAGCCATGTTTACAATTATGCTTCTGATAGAAAATCTGTGCATAAACAGTGCAGAAAATTAATTATTTGCAATTTGTTTCAGCACCGTGTTTTAATTTTTAAGTAGTCTTTTGAACAGAATAGAACTGTTAATATGTTTGCACTAGGAAAGTTTAAACACCAAAAATGTAGAAGCACATTAATTATATTGCATATAACTGCAATTCGAGCAAGTTGCAATTTACTTCTCCTGCGCTACGTTTTTTTAAACAAACTTTGAAATTTTCTTAAAAAGTGAAACAAGTATTTTTATATACACTTTAGAGAATGTTCACATGTTGTACACAGTCCCAGGGAGGCTTCCAAGCCTTCAAACTTTTATTCTTCTATTCAATTCTCCTAAATAGATAGAGTATTCTTGGGCAAGTGTGACAATCTGAACATTTGAACACTTATTATCCATAACACAGGATCCAAACCAGATATTCCCATGAAGTTGATATTGTGCACTATAGTAAGACAAAGAATCTCTGTGATAAAAAGAATTAGCTTAGTCAAGAATCAGCTTATTTAAGCTGAAACAATTCCAACAGGAGTTACTCATCATTGAATATCATATTCTGTAACATGGTAATTGAGGTGCTCCACCAGGACATGGAAGGCAATTTCCCAGCTACACATGAATGGTTAAAAACTTGCATCCAATCTTCCATGGATTTAACTCTCAGGTAACTATCATTTTACTGCAGTCCTGCAGCAAGTCTGCACAGATGTTTCCATTCTTTTCCATTCCTTTATTGTTTCTTTGGCAAACCACAGTTCTCCACATTTTAGCTGGATTTTTGGGGTTTGGTTTTGGTTTGGTTTGGGTTTTTTACAAAAACATTTCCTATTACAAAAGTCTTCAATTAATTTTCAATCTCTTAATTAATATTCATGATCTGATCTAAGAGAAGAGTGTCGTGACAATGTAATTATTTCATATAACTGTATGGAACAAGTCCTAAACCTACAATCCAAATGAAAAATATACGTCTGTGATACTATCAGGCATCTTGCTAACAGGAAATTCATCTTTTCCTTTTCATTGGAGATTATGACCACTGAAAGGGAGATAAAGAGGAAATAATGTGCTTCAACTCTGATTGGACAGGCATCGTTTCCTCAGAATTCTGTATCGATTAAGCAAACACATGTGTCTGTGAAGACACCATCTCTTCAAACTTCAGTAAGTGGAGTTTCTGGGAGTGTTCTGGGAGAGAATTCTGATATGCTTTCCATTTGCTTACATTTTTCCCTAGTCTTCTCCAACTGACCACTTTCAGATAAAGAATACTGGACTAGATAAATATAGAGATTCTTTTCTTGTGCATAGCAAGAACAGTTTGCCATTCACATTTAGGTATGTACACTCTGAGGTTTCCAAACAGTCAATCAATCCTATACCACTTAAACAAAAGCCTTAAAATAACCTTCACAATATTTACTACTCAATAGTTTAATAATATAATTTCAAATCTAAATCTCCCTGAAAGTAGCCAAAAATAATCAGGGTCATTAACAAAGGTCAGAAATCAGCAAATGAAGAAAATAAGTTGGGTTAAAGTTCACACACAAATTTAAAATTAATTTGATTATTTTGGGTTCAAGCATTTTTTGCATTCAATCTAAAAAAAAAAAAATCAGCACAATTGTGTTTATTTCAAAAAGATAATAACTTCATAGCAAAATGCAAATGGCATGATTTGTGAGGCAATAATAACCTAGAAAAAAATTACTCAGCAAATATTAAAAGCTAAATCCAAAGACCTCTTAAATCAGAATGAATAATAATGCAAATTCTGGATACTAAAAACTACACACAGTAAATATATGCAATAATTTTTTTTTAAATTTTAATAGGTTCATGTTGTAGAATAATTGGTTTCTTGGACCTTTATCTCGGATGGAGAGGGCTGGTTAATCTATAAAAATTAAGAAAATTTAAATATCTGCTCAACCATTTACTAGGAACTTGATAAGAAGAAAGCTATATTGGACTTTAAGTCAGAGTTACATGTCTCTTCTGAAAATATTCGCTGTTTTCTTTGGTGACATTTGAAAATACATTGGGTATCAGACTAAGGACCTAAGCTTTTTCAAACCTTATAAAAATTCTCCTTTTTTCAGGGTTTTTGACCATTAAGATAAACGATTTCTGAGTTGAGCTATAAAGTTAACATAAATGTAATTTGAAAGGTGTATTCAGACTTTGCAATTTTTATAGCTTGCAGTATAAATTAAGTTTGCATACAAATAACAACTTCACAGGTGAATATTTAGACATGGCTATGTCAATTTAACAGTGTTATAAAAAGTGGTACCCACCTCTTATCCCATTTATTTTGAAAGATGCAGCATGATTATTTTATCTCCTACAGCATGTCTAAAGTACATGTTTCCTCTTTAAAATAAAAATGTAACTTGTCATATGGTGACAATCTAGTCATGTCAATCACACTTCAGCAAGTTATTTAGCAACAAAAAAAAGTATGTTTCAAATTTGTAGTCTCTTCTTGGTAACACACATACACTTTCCTCAAAGCTACTATTCTTACCAAGACCAATCCAGTATCATTGCCATGATTTAACTGAAGCCAGTGATTAAGTACCACACAACCACTTGCTCACTTGCCCCTGGTGGGACATGGGGGGAGAATTGAAAGGGTAAAAGTAAGAAAATTTGTGAGCTGGGAAAAAATACAGTTTAGTCAATAAAGGAAAAACAATAATTGCAAAGAAAAACAAAAACAAACCCAAGAAAAACACATAATGCAAAATTGTTCACCATCAATCAATCAATTCTCAGCCGGTCCCCAAGCAATGGTAGCCACCACCAACCTCCACCCCACACTTCCTGAGCACAACCCTCATATGGTATGGGACATCCCTTTTTTCAGATGGGGTCAGTCATCCTGTCTGTGTTCCCTTTGTTCCTTTCCAACACCTTATGCACCCTCAACCCTCTCACTGGTAGGGTGGGATGGAGAAAAAATTCACCTTGAGTCTGTGCAACCACTGCTTACCAATAACTCAAATGCTCCTGTGTTACTAATGCTGTTTTCAGCAAAAATCCAAAGCATTGGCCCATACTAGCTGCTCTGAAGGAACTTGACATTATCCCAACCAAAACTGTTACAATAATTCACACACACACACATCCCACCCCCCCCACCCCACCCCTTAAAAAGAAGCTTCACACACTTTTGAAACTTAAAATTTGCTGAGTTTACTTACATATGCTCTAAAGCACTTTACTGAGAATCTGTCTCAGGAGATGCTATCCAAAAAAATTCAGTAGATTAAAGTAGCTTTCTTAGTTCATCATGTTTGAAAAGTGATTTATCTTTATGAATAAGTAAGTATACTTTCAAGTATCATTCTTTTTGATTTTTTCTTCAAAACTCTGCTGAGAAAATTAACATCATTTTTGCTCTGAGTCATTCAAAACTGTGCATACAGCTTAGTGAAGTGCCACAAGTATTGTATTAGGAAGCATCATTGCCTTTCTGCATTGGTACCAACTGTCTAACTCTGACATGTATTCAACCCTCAAAGAATTGTCAAAGCTATCTACAGCCTACCATTTTTTCTTTATGTTGTAAAGTAGTTAGTAATAGTGGTGATTACATCAAGAAAATAATGATATACATAAGTAATATTATTTCTTCATATTTATGTATTTCCCATTTGCAAATTGCTTAATTTACTTTTCTTTCTTCAGAAATATTAATATTCTTTCCTTCTTTAAAAATATGTTGTTAATAGCAACACTTCTGGATCCCATATTATTATTATTTCTTTTTTTTCCTCTTTGTTTTCTCTTTTGCAAAGCCTTCTGTTAATGCCTTTTGATCTTTTTTCCCAGGTCATTATTAAAGATACAAAATATAGCACTGGACAATGAATTACAACTAATGATATGTCATTTATATTCATCCTTTGTGTAGGTTCCTGAGCAAGGCTTCAAGCCAGTCATAACATCTCTATTCAGGAAACATGATTCTCCTTCAGTGACAAATTTTCATATCAAAAGTGGTATTAAATTCAGGTATTTGTTATCTCCTTGAAGTATTTTCCTCACATTGCAGTCTCAGTGTAAAGACTGATTGACTGCAATTTAAATTATAATTTATTATACTGGAGTGCCACAGTTTTGGATTTTCACTATGCTTGATCATAAATAGTTTCAGTGTGTCCAAAGTGACTGTAATCAAATTTTGTGGTACATTACATTAGAGGCACTCCAATCATCTCTTAATTTTCTCACTTTCATCTTAGAAGGAGCTGTCATATTTGTCAGACAAGAATTTTTATTTGGAAACACATACTTCTTACTGACTGATGCTTGATTATCACCTCTCATTGAGAGTTTCAAGAAGAGGTATCTTATGTAAAATCTGAGATCACACATGGCATCTTTTTTAAATCAATGAGCAATTCTTCTGTTGTCACTGACTTCAGCAGTCAATACACTTCAAGCTCTTGATTTAGATCCTTTCATCTTATACTAACCAGGTTATTTATCTAGGACATATTTTCACAAAATAATAATAATAGCAAAAAAGGTCTAGCAATTCTTCACAATAACTATATTCTCCCCCTTCCATGAATATTTTCATCCTCATGGATTACAGCTCAAATAGATGAGTTGAACTGTTGTCCTAAGAAATTGTTTCCCCCTATTTGGAAAGAGGTTAAATGAAATAATAACTGTTCACAGTATGAACACGACACATATTATGGCACATATAATAATTCTTATCTCCCCATCTTCTCTCATCCCACAAAAGGAAGGATGGACAGAAGAAAGGAAGGAAAAGGCTGTTCAGGGATTCTAGCAACATAGAGAGGCCTGACAAGACAGTGGTTTGAGAGGAGCATTGGGAACATACAAGATAAGAACAAAGATGTGAAAAGGCTCCTGAAAGAAGAAGAAAATTGAGATGGATGGAAAAAGATTAAGAGGTACAACAGGGTAGGTATAAAATGGAATGGGAAACAAGCATGGAGAGTGTGAAGGGCTAGAGGAAGGAATGGGAGAGGTAGGAAGAAGGGAAAGAAGGAGAGAGTAGCACAAAGCAGGTGCAAAAGACTGTGATGTAAAGAGATGGAGTGCACGTGTGAAGGGAGGTAGGAGACTGAGAGAAAGGAGAGGGATCCATTATAGCTTTAAGAGAATTCAATCTTGGGGGAAAACCCCTCATCTTTAAAACAGCTCTTTTAAATAAAATAAATGGTTAAAATACATCCTCTCTACTAAGAGTGTCCTGCTCTAGAATTTAATGATTCACCCTCAAGCTGGGAAGATTAAGGTTTGTATTCTTGGTGAAAAACTGATATTATCACATGGCCAAAATGAGCCACGAAGGTAGTTACTAGTAGGTACCACTTTTAAAGTGCTTTCTTTTTGTATGAACTTCTGTATACACAGCTCAAGCACATGCTGGTTGTTTTTAAATATCCATGTGCTTTAACATATATTTCTGTTATTGTGTCTTACTTAGCTTTCAGTAAACTGTTTCCTAAGTTGGTTTTTTCCTATTGTGAGTTTAAGAGTACTGTATTTCTTGTTTAATTTTATTGTCTTCCATACTTCTAACCTCTGTAGACCTTCTTTGGTTTATTTCTGTATTTTCAGTGAGGTACACATCTCCTAATATATTGTCAACTGAGATTTTATTTTCCAGAAATCATGTCTTGCTTGCTGGTTCTCAAATGCCACTCAATGTTCTTGAAGTCATCCTAGATTACAGATTTCCTTTCCTCATTTTCAACAGTTTTCACTTACACACAGACTCTCCATCCAGTACTGACTTATTTAGCTATTACCCTGACATCAGTTCTTCCATTTCTATTACCAGTAAGGAAGACAGATTGCATTCCTCCAATTCTACTTGTACACAAAGCTAATTTACTTTTTGAGTCTAATCACTGCTATGTACTCCTTTCCCCTCAGCTTGGGTCTCCAGAGCTCCCTATATGGAAAGCTTCATAGGAGAAATCTACTGTCAGTGCATCGCTGAATGTTTTAAAATATAGTTTAGTTCTTGAATCACAGATTTCCCACTGGACAACAAAATTATTATTACCTATGTGTTTCAAGACAAGATCATGGTTTCTGAACTTATACAACTCTTCTTAGTAAGAGAAAGTTAATATTCTTAAACTAGTCTTTGGGAGAAAAGGTTTTGGAGAAATAGATTGTTTATGCTAGCTTCTCCATTCAATGATTTACAGAAAAAAATTGAAATGCAGCTCTGAAACATGGTCCTTTCCCTTAATTTCTGTTTTTATTTGCAGCCACAATATCACATTGGGCAACAGCTGACAGAACTTTATCTGAAGGAAAGCATAGTGCTTACAGAACACTGAATGGCACATCTAAATACAAACTACAATGCAGATTCAAGTTGCAAGACCTTTGCCTGCTGATCACAACAATGGGAGATGCTGTAGTTTCCTGCATTGTCTCTTCATGACAAGGTGGCTGGAGGAAAGACGATCTGATTTCAGATCATCACAGTGTCATGTAGGCATTCCAAATAGCTGTATGTGCTTCCCACGGCCTTTAGTTCAGACATAGACAATATTAGGCTACAGAGAATGAGCATTTCTCAATTCTTTGTTCTCTCACTCTGTCTGTCCAAGAAAAATTAATTTCACAAGACAAGCCAGTCAGGTTACTAATTCCTAATTTTTTAGTACCATTAACAGATAAAAACCTTTTATTCCGAGAAGAGAAAAAAGGTTCCCTCTGAAAACACAAAAAAAGCCAAAATGAAATTATTTTATTTCACTCAGTTGGAGATAATTCTTCCTGAATTAGTAAAGATACAAAGAAAATACAAATACACATACTCACAGGTTCACACATGAGGTTGGGCAATGGCATTGGTGGAATCACAACTTAAACTAAACTCAATATATAGATCGAAGACAAAATATTTTATCTTTTTATTTGTATGACTTCAGGCCCAGCTATTCAGTCTTCCCCAGTCTTCTTGAATCTAAGAACGTGGCTAGAAGCACACAGTGGAGAAACCACTAACTGCCAGACATCAAGATAACAGCTTTTACTGTAAGACTTTGAAACCAAATACCAAGCTGGGAGCATGTATACTGTTTTATGTAATATATGAAATGCTTTTAGGGGGTGAGGTTTTGTTTTGTTTCCCACCTCTTTGGAGGTAAATGTCTTACACACCTTTTCAAGACCTTCTTCCTTGAGGCTGATAACATCTAAATCAAAATCTGTCCTTAAGCCATTGGTTTTGTTGAAAGTTATCCTGCCTGTGAGGCCTTCCCAATGGGCCTATGGAGAAAGAAAAAAACAATTTCCATAAATAAATACCTCTTCCTTTTTTTTCCTGAAAAAAACCCAAATTTTACTTCTGCCAAAATGGGAGCATTAATTATTCGTTTTATGTAAATGATTTAACTTATGGCTGAGTTTAGGTTTTGAAACTTTTGCACTCACATTTTGCTAGTTAAATCAACCCTTCCCTCAATCTTCGCACACAATTTTTTAAAACACTTCCCATGTTAGGCAATAGACTCTTCTACTGAATGAGAGAAAAGGTTGTTTTGCTTTCATTCCTCCATCACTCATGCATGCATTTCCCCTTCTGCTTCCCTACATGTCTCCCCCTCCCCAGCCCCCAGGCCTCAATCTGTTTCATTAATGCTGGACTTCATTCTTCTGTCAGGAAATTTCATTCATATAAAGACTTACTTTTTGCAAGGTGCTGATTCCCCTGAAACCACATTGAGACAGCATAAATTGAGGTCAGTGAGACACTATTCCAGAGCTTAGACCTTACTTTTAATGAAGTGTGATAACCTCATTTTTTTATAACTTAAAGTCTACCTAGTTCTTAAACTATACTCAAGTAGGGAATATGGAAAACAAAATTATCGTCCTGAAAGGAACCAATATAAAAAACAGAACTACATTTCAGTGCAAATAATTCTCCTTATCATAATATTTTCTACATCTAGAATTAGAAATACTTTATTAGGAGTTATTTATAGTATAAGAGACTTGAATACTCTACAGTGTCTATCTTTAGCACCATAAATCTCTTAGCCTTCCTTTAAATCACTATCTATCAGTATCTAAGCAGCATATTATGAGGCCAAGGCCACATATACTAATTCACCATGGAAAAAAAAAGAATTAAAAAAAATAATAATTTAAACCAGGAAGTAAAATTCATTCTCAGCCCCTTTGACCTCATGCCAGTGTTTAGTTGCTGAATTTCTCACAATCAGTCTACGGTTTGGGTATTTGGGATTTTATGCCACAGATGTTCCACACACCCCCAATTATCACCAAACAAAAGTTTTATTTAGAATGCAGTTATTGCACCATTTCATGTTTCTTTGTTCCAACTAATACTTCAGAAAAACCAACTTTCAAATAAAAAATGCTGTCTTGCTTGTTAAACTGTTTGCAGGTAACAAGATGAGAAATTCTCACCTACTGTAAAGAAAAGGCAGATTTCAAGTAGCTTAAAAACAAAACCAAGTGGGAATGAGCAGAAAGGGAAGCAGTGAAGCTTGATTAGTGACTTACCTCCTTAATGAGGCTCATAAAGCGGGTCCCAAAGCGCCATGGTTTGTGGCGATTGCACTGCAGTGAGCTGACAGTCATCTGTGGGAACTGCTGGACAGCCACGGACACCACATGGACTGCATCATACATCAGTGCTGCGTCCGTCTGAAATCAGAAGGACATCAGAACCATGAACACGACACCACCACGTGAGACAGGCCAGCAGTGAGAGAAGGAAACAACAAATTAGCATTGCTTATTATGTTAGGGGCAGAAAATGCTCCGATTGCCTGTGTAGCACTGTGAATTGTAGCCCTATCACCAAGACTTACATGAGTTGTGTCACGACATTCAGTCTCAGCTTTCTCTATTTCATGCTGAAAGAAGTGCCCAAATAGCTACTTTTCAGGATCACAGGAGTACACTAGTCCCTAGTACACTAGACTCATGTTACTTTATATAAAGCAGTGCATTGGGGAGCTCTATAAATCACTGTACGTGTGTTTCATTCGAGTCAGTTATTTTCACAAGTGAGGCAAAAGAGAAAAAAGAAACAATTAGCAAGATTGTAAAACCTTAGCTATGAAGGAAAATGTACAATCTAAGGAAAAAAAAATGTTTTTTGTCTTGAAATTACAGACAAGACACAGTCCCAAAGGTACTCAATTGATTCATTAATTAATTTTTAATGTGTCAGTTTAAATCCCTAGTACAGATTTAATCAGTATCTTCAATAAATCCAAGGTAAACTAGAATTACATTAAAATTCCCATTCATTTTAATAGTTTTCATGTCCCATCCTAAATAAATAAACTGTTTAGACCTAGTATGTGCTAAGAAATGTATTAGCAAAGGACAGAGTCAGTCTTTCCAGTACACACTGTCATGCTGTACAAGAAACTGACATCTCTCTCCTATTCTTTTTGATAAACAGAGGCAAATCTCAGAACCAAAAGCAAGAGAGAACCTTAGTTTCAGTGGTGGAAATGAATGCTATGCCATCTGCTCAGCATACCTTAGAGAAAAAGGACCTATTTCCCCTCCTCATTCACATAATTAGTGAGCTGTGAAATTAGTTCTTTAATGGATAGGAAACCTGGAGATTATTGCACTTGTCACAATACAATACAATGCAATACAAAATGAGCTTATATAGTGCCTTTTCATGCAAATGCATCCCAAGGCTCTTTACAATAAAACTAAACATAAAAATGCAAAAAATATACTACCATTATAGTCTATAAGCTACTGCTAAAGAGGAAAATATACGTTCACATTTAAATGGCTCTCCCAAGGAGAGATTTCAAAACTCAAACAGAAATAAATCCTAATTTTGAAAATAGCCAGTATAATAGGTTTCAATGATCTCAGGCACCAAGTACTTTATGCAGGGGCTCCAAATCAGTCAGAAAATATTTTTGCTGCCAAATTGTTCATTATCTTCAAGGCATTAAAGTGCTTTTAAGGCAAGCTGATATTTGACAAGAAGGCAGTGAAACACCAAAAAGTTGCAATGACATGCTGAGTAAGCGTGATACAAAGCTTAATATTCTAGAAGCAAGACTTGGCAGTAGCTGGAGTCTAGACAACAGCTTTTAAATAAACTACATAATAAGTACAACACATAAATCTGGCTCAGAAATGCAAACTCTTTTTTTTTTAAATTAGCTTTACTTCTAAAACTGTCGTCTTTGTACCAATGAAGGAAATTGCTATGAGACTTTAGCAAAAGCAGTTCACAAAGAAGCAGTCAGAAGTTCAACACCAGCACTAACTGATTAATTAGATATAATTTTGGACACAGAACTGTTAAGACTCAGCAGCAAGAATCAAATGGACATTATGCCAGATGCAGAACAGCATGGTATTCTGTCAAATTCCATAAGCCACTGAGGTGGAAATCTGTAGGATGACAAGACAGTCAACTTCAGTGGAAGCATTAAAAGAAAGCCACTGCAGTTTTAGAAGTAATTGAAATTCTGACAATATTCTTTATATTTGATTGATGATTATTGCTTCACTGGAAGTAAATCTAAATGAGAATGTACCTCTTTTAAATGCACACAATTTCAACTCATAGCTGGCTAGAAGTAGAGTTCTCTATTTGATTTTTAGAAACTAGAACATAAATCCCTTATTTACATAGGATGAGATTCCACAACTCACCTTCTATAAGATTAAACATAGGCTTATTTTTTTTACTCAATAAATATAGATAAAACCATGTATTCAAAAATAATTTGGTTTAGTGATTCAACACTGCACTCATCTAACTGGTTGTAGTCATTGATTTTACTGCAAGAGAAATAAACAACACAAAACTCAGGAAATAGTATGAAGTATATCTTTGAATTTGTTGGTTGGGCTCCTCTCTTGGCTGGTAGCTACCTTTCCTTTGAGAGACAGTAGGACCTGATAGTCATTGGCCTAGCTCTCCGACCTTGTTAATTAGGCTTACTGAGCTTTATATCTCACTGACCTTTGTCCATACCACTTTCTCTTCCTTAAATCTTGCTTTTGGGACTGTGTATTGTGGTACAAGAAGTACTGCAGGTTTCAGCAAAAGACTGTTTGGGGGCAAGGAAGGAAATATACCTAATGAAATTTCTAGAATTCTTTGTCTAAAAAGACATTAGAAACATGAGAAGAAACAGAAGTAGCAAATTTCAGAAAAAAAAGTGGTTCTGAATTTCAGATGGAAACCTGCTACAATGCCTGAATTCACTGAAGCACATGTAATACAAGAAAATAACCTTATTGAAAAATGACATTAGTAATGTTTTAGTTAATTTGTGCAATCATTAACAATTATGTTGTACTCCACAAATATATCTTCATCCAGTTTCTGAACTATGGGTTGTGGGATGATTTTTCTTACACAATCCTACTTACTAGCCATGATGACTTGGTTGGATACAAATAAACTCATCTAAAATACTGCTCTCGATATGGGCATTTGTATTTCTACAACTACGCTTTTTTAAAAAAATATACTACAACTACAGAAGCTGCAAAAATTTTTCATCAAATTGAAATAGAATGAAATTGAGTTGGGTGATTAAGATGTCAGGTGACAAATGCCTGTGATCACATGTCTGTTTTTCAGTTGACTCTGTCAAGTGACAAGAAAGTTTTCAGCAATCAGATAAGCAGCTCAATCAGACACATAATTTCACTCACAATATATCTCAAATTAAGACAGAGTACCAATCTGTCTTTGATTTTTGTCCCAAGCTTAGTTGGATACTACACATTTCTTCTCAATACTGTTCTCTCATTCCATTACCTCCTGACTTACTGTGGGTGTTGTATTTGCCTCTATTTTTCACATGTTTCTGTGCAGTCACTTTTGAGCCTTGCTGCTAAGTTACTTGCTAAATATTGTCTAACAAATTGCATGCAAGTAGATAAATCTCACTGTGAAAGGGCTCTGATGGAGCCAGACTCACTACAAAGAAAGTAGAAAAAGAGTCCTTTTTCTCATTTCTCCATGGGTCTCCTCAGAGTAGGAGCTAGTCTCTTTCTTCTCTGTCATCAATCACACCCAAAGATGTCAAAGGTGCAAGATAAACTCCAGTAGATCTATGCTGTGAGGCACTGGAGCATTTTGCTCAGAGGTGTTGTGATTTCCCTATCCATGGAAGTGTTCAAGATGAGGTTGGATGGGGCTCTGAGAAATTTGGTCTAGTGGGTGTCATCCCTGTGCATGGCAGAGGGCTTGGAGCTAGGTCATCTTTAAGGTCCCTTCCAACCCAAACCATTTGATTCTTTGATATATGTCACACACTCTCTTGTCCTGGTTAATCAGCGTTGTAAGGAGGCTTTTAGCTTGGAGGCTTGGAGCTGGAGCACAGTAGTGTTTTTTACTGGTTTCTAATCTATGTGGGCAAAGCCGATGAAGAAAACCACTATAGCCTAGGTCCCAGCAAAGGAGAAATCTTCCTCATGTAATGGAACAGACAAACTGCTTCTTCACCAAGTTTTTTGCCCTTCTTATAACATAGAAGAGATATGATTCTCAGTGACCTTCAGTATGGTTGTTTGAGAAAAATCAGCTGGAATTTCTGAATGCAAATGGACTGTTCACACACTACAGCTACAACCCAAGATCTGCCTCTGTTTCTTAAGACCAAACAAAAAAAAAATTCAAAAGTTAGAGAAATGGTTCACATCATGACACATAGATAAAATTCAGGAAAGCCTAACAGAACAGGCAAATCATGGCCATCACAACCATTACCAGACTTAGAAGACATAAGAGTTCATTGATGTCATTTGATATCTGAGTCAACAAATGTGCTAAATGCTTTTGGAACCTCTGTGCTTAATTAACTACTAAGGGTTAAAAAATTTTGCAGAGTCCACTTTTTAATAAACATTGTATCACCACTTGCTCAGCACCTTTTATGCACCACCATGTTTTTGTATATTTCCATGTACCTCCATCAAACTACATGTACATTTTAAGTACTATTAAACCACACCGCTCTGATCCATATCTCAGTGCTCTAGAATTATCTCTACATCACAAAAATAGGTTAGAAAAACATTATTTTCATCATGCAGTCTAGTTTAACATTAATTTAAGATGAAGGATTGCTAGGCTAGTTGTGTTTCTTCATGAGCTGTATCAATAATAGTACATTTCTCAAACAGAAAAAATCACATTTCAGCTTCTACTATAACTAATTGTGGACTTCTATAATCTACAGATAAATAAAAAAATTAATTATTACATAAGCATGATCTGGAAGAACTTTCAATTACTTAAATACAGATGATTAAAAACAGCTTGAAAGCAGGAAAAATCCTCAGGTTTTTAATTAAATGTTAAATTAAACTAATGTGATTATTTCTCCCCTTAATTAAATTTATTACTAATAAAAGTCTTTGAAGAAACATAGTCTTCTACTTAAAAGGTTCTCTGTGAAGTACTTGAAAACACCAAGAATTTTTCTACATTGAGTGATGTATGAAATAAGGCAATAGAAAAGAGAAGCTTAATAAATTTACTTTATGCTCTTCAGCATTTGATCCAGTTTGGATCCCAGACAAGAATGAACTATTTGAAATATTAGCAGTTCATTTTCCCTAGATCAGAAGATACTTGTATTTACAAATATGACACAAAAGATCTCATAATTGACCTCTGTACACTGACTGTG